AAAATGAACTAGGGAGTAAAAGGCACTCTGTCTTCATTATCGTGTATGTAATGTTCAAATAAAACTGGGAAGTAGTATACAGTATTTTATATTCATTATTGTATGTGGTGTTAAAATAAAACTAGAGAGTTAAAAACACTGCATCTTCATTATCGTGTATGTAGTGTTCAAATAAAACTGAGAAGTAGTAGACAGTATTTTATATTCATTATTGTATGTGGTGTTAAATTAAAACTACACAGTTAAGAACACTGCATCTTCATTATCGTGTATGTAGTGTTCATATAAAACTGGGTAGTAGACAGTATTTTAAATTCATTACTGTGTGTGGTGTTAAAATGAACTAGGGAGTAAAAGGCACTCTGTCTTCATTATCGTGTATGTAATGTTCAAATAAAACTGGGAAGTAGTATACAGTATTTTATATTCATTATTGTATGTGGTGTTAAAATAAAACTAGAGAGTTAAAAACACTGCATCTTATTATCCTGTATGTAGTGTTCATATAAAACTGGGAAGCAGTAGACAGTATTTTATATTCATTATTGTATGTGGTGTTAAAATAAAACTAGAGAGTTAAAAACACTGCATCTTCATTATCGTGCATGTAGTGTTCAAATAAAACTGGGTAGTTGCAGACAGTATTTTATATACATTATTGTATGTGGTGTTAAAATAAAACTGGGAAGTTGTACACACTGTATTTTACCTTCAATATTATGTTTGTATGATGTAAAAGATAATTAAAAATAATGTACACACACAGGAACATACTTCCACTGTTACGTATTTCCTAAAATAAAACTATGAGACATTGTAGTTCACTTACACTATTGTTTTATTAGAAAAGAACTAGGAAGCTGTAAACATAGTAACCCACTTCCATTATTGTGTTATTAGAAGAGAACTAGGAAGCTGTAAACATAGTAACCCACTTCCATTATTGTGTTATTAGAAGACAACTAGGAAGCTGTAAACATAGTAACCCACTTCCATTAATGTGTTATTAGAAGACAACTAGGAAGCTGTAAACATAGTAACCCACTTCCATTATTGTGTTATCAGAAGAGAATTAGAAAGCTGTAAACATAGTAACCCACTTCCAGTAATGTGTTATTAGAAGAGAACTAGGACGCTGTAAACATAGTAACCCACTTCCATTATTGTGTTATTAGAAGAG